ATATTTTCTCGCCGTCGAGCACGACTCCGGCTGAGCCGACGTCCATATTTCCTCGTCGTAGAGCCTCGACTCCGGCTGAGACGATGTCCATATTTTCTCGCCGTCGACCACGACTCCGACTGAGCCGACGTCCATATTTCCTCGTCGTAGAGCCTCGACTCCGGCTGAGTCGACGTCCATATTTCCTCGCCATAGAGCCCTAACTTCGGCTTACTCGACGTCCATATTTTCTCACTGTCGAGCACGACTCCGGCTGAGCTGACGTCCATATTTCCTCGCCGTAGAGCTTCGAATCTGGCTGAGTCAATGTCCATATTTCCTCGCCGTAGAGCTTCGACTTTGGCTGAGTCAACGTCCATATTTCCTCGCCGTAGAGCCTCGACTCCGGCTGAGCTGACATCAGTATTTTCTCGCTGTAGAGCCTCGACTCCGGCTAAGAAGACGTGCCCAATCATTACACCAAATCATGAGTTGGTTTGGTGCGACAAATGCTCATTCTTACGCCAAATCTTGAAGTTGATTTGGTACGGCCGAAATGCCCTAAAACTACAAAGGCCCAGCAAGGCCAATCATAAAGACGATCAATAACCAAATAAAAACAAGACTAAAGACCGGATACCGAATAATCCGACCAGGTCCACCTTACGCGAAAAACAACCACGAAAGTCAAAAATCGCGTCATCTCAATACGACAAAACAATGGATACTATGTTACAGTTAACTTAAAATCGCCAAACGAGTCATATCGCTAAACCAGTGTTTTAAAACGCGCAACGCGCGTCGCGTCGCGTTTTGGTCCTTATATTGTGTAGCGTAAATAGCGTAGCGCATTGCGTAAGTTATTCGAGCAATTCACTTTTAATGTCAAAAATAATAATATATTTAACCAAACTCACCTAAAGTCCTCTACTGAAATATTTAAAGTTCGAAATATTAATTCTAGATCAGTTTAATTTCATTTACCTTAAATATAATAATTTTTTATCTTAATAAATAAATAAACCCACACTTCCCTAAATTATTTTAAAAAAAAAAATAGTCACTATCCTACCCACTCCACTCATAACTCACCACACAACCACGACACATTTACACACAAATTTTTCTTTCCCCTTCTTTTTTTATTCTTTCTCTCCTTTCCCCTCTCCTTCTTCTTTCCCTTTTCTTCTTCCCTTTTATCTCTTCTTCCTTTTTTTGCTCCGTGCAGACTACTTTTTTTTTTTCCTTCTTTCTCTTAAATTTTTTTCTTCTTTATTCTTCTTCTTATTTCTTTCAATCCCAGACAATAATTTTTTTCTTTCCATTAAATTTTCTTCTATTCAAATGCACAAACACAAATTTCTCAATACTCCTCAATTAAATCAATTAGCCCGAAAATCAAATAATGAAGAACACGATTGAACTCCCCGTTTCAATCCGTCAAAGGCCGACGATCGGCGGACCGACGACTTGGGTGTGTCGCACTTGCACTGGACAGGGGCCGACGGTGTGGTTCACGCCCTAGATCTGCTTTCAATTTTTTTTTTTTTTTGTGCCTGTAAAATTGAAAAATAAGACCAAATAGCGTGCGCAATTCACGCTATTGCGTAAATAGCGTAAAAAATTGTGAGAGAATCGTGCCACGTCACCAAAAGCGTGCGCATTTTAGGAACAACGCGATTTTTTAAACGCAACAGCGCGTTTTCTGTCAAAATTGCGCTATTGCGCGCGATGGAGCGCGCTAAAAAACGCTTTTTAAAACACTGCGCTAAACAACTTTGCGCACATCGATTATAGTTCGCGGGGCCCGAGTGCCCACACAATTCCATACCATTATCATCAATACAAAAGCAGATCAATCAAACGCTTAACGTTGAACGCAAAACGTAAAAATGGGTACCAAATTACCCGACTAGGCCTCTTAGGCCCTATTCAATAGCAATTCCAAATAATTGTCTATTCATTTCACCGGTTCAGCTCGTCAAAATGCAAAAAATGTGAATAATCTAAGAAACGTCAGGTCAAAGCCTAAAAACAATCAATAGTACGTCCACGGGTCTCAAAGCACCCAAATGTTATACGTTGATATGCATCCGTTCAGAAAATCTCGACATGATGTTACGTATCGCACGAATCACAAGCGAAAGTCTGCCAAATTTGATAATTAACGCGACTCCAGAACAGTTCTGGTTAGAACATGTCCCAAAGTCGGGGGCCTAATGTTGATACCAAATCTGGTCTCGTCTAATGAAGATGCTACACGTGGATATATATTAAATAAATATAAATATAGCAGGTCATCTGAGCTGATTATTTAACCGAGTTCCCCAAGTGTCCAAATCTCCCACGTTCAAGTCGAACAGAATTAAATATCACCAGCCCGACCCGAATACCGAGAAGATCCATTCTCGGAACACACAATAATTGCCGATAAAGTAGACGTCATTCGAATCCGTCAAGTGTAACGATCGGGCCCCACGAAGTCATGTCACATTAAACACTAGTGTACTTTTTTATCTATTTTTTAATTGGCCCACTTGTAAAAGGACTTGGGTATATATAGATAGTGAGGAGAGAGAAAGAAAAGGAGACTATTCCTCCATCTTCTACAACACTCAAAATGAAGAAAAAATAAGAGGATCTTCATCTCTTAAATATCCAATAAAATTGCATATCAATCCAACACCCCCTATTCCCAGAATAGGGTGTACATTTTCGTTGATACAATTATAAATAGAAAAGAAAAAGAAAAATATCCAACAAATAACTTGAATGAAGTTACATTGGAACATTATTATTATTATTATTATTATTATTATTATTATTATTATTGTTATTATTATTATTATTATTATTATTATTATTATTTGTTTTCTTTTTCTTCTACCATTAAAAAAAGTATTATTTTTTTTATTTAAAAACATAAATAAATTTTGTATTTATAGTAAATGAGGTGACACACTCGCCCATACCTTGCTTGTCTCGTTACCGGTAGCATGTATTTACTACTATAGTCAATAATCCCACCCACTCGCCCATACCCTGTCCCGTGTATTTTACCCATGCTGCTGACCCACTCGCCCATACCTTGCTTTTTTTATTATTTTGTCAGGGAAGCCTGACCGCGTGTGAAAATCAAAAAAAAAAATGAGAAAATGGAATGCCAGCTGGTGCGTGCAAAAAATGTTGATAACTGGAGGGAAATGTTTGTAACTTTTACCTATAAATTGGTGTGTTCCACCTACAGAAAAATCACAACAAATTACATTGATCACATATGTTTATTTAGTCATGGTTCATGAGACTCCATTGTGTTCCTGCGGTAGTGGTCGGATGTATCGTTTTATGGCTAAAACAGAAAAAAGTTATGGTAAGTATTTTTATCGTTGTCCTGC